TATAGAAATTTCACACCCTACGGCAGTCTGTCAACTCCTGTTACTACAAATATTAACTCTTGTGGATTTTATTTTTACAATGTAATGATGATTAATGCATCTTCAAACTGGTGTCTCAACCTTACTGCCAACTTTTCTCGTTCAGGAAAAATTGCCACTTATTTCCCAACCAAGTATTCCAAAGTAAAACTTTGCTCAACTTTAACTGGCTGTACTGGAAAAAATGTAATACGAGAGTCTGGCGCATTTAATAAGGATTCCAAAATGGTATAACACTTGGAAGATTACTTGTTAACTTATGCACAATTTTTATTTGAAGAAAAACTGATGAAAATTTTTCAAAATTTCCTAATTAAACAGCGATTATGAAAACGCACAAGGACCCTTGAAGATAACTGTTTGCACAACTTTGGGCGTCAAAATGCTGCTAATGATGATTTACCTTTACAGCAAATGCTCAAACTGTTTTCCTTCAGCCGCAATACACGCTCGACATCTTCTTAAAAAAGATCGGGTTATTAAACGAGCGAATCCACGGTTATTAACAAACTCAGCTGCTTCCAATAGTCTTTGCCGTAGCTCAGCTACATTTGGAATCGGCTAGAAATACACTTTTTCTTTTACAGTTCCCCAGTAAAAAAATCTAAAGGATTCAAATCAGGTGATCAGGCTGGCCACGGTATTGTACCAGACCGCCCTATCCATCTGCCTGGAAAGTTTTGATCGATATACTCTCTCACTGAGAGTGCATAGTGCGCTGGGCAGCCATCATGCTGAAACCACATGTCCCTGTAAATACTCAGTGGCACGTCCACCAATAAACTTTGTACATGATTTTTCAAAATATCCAAATAAACTTCAGCAGTCAAAGTCTCTGGGAACTCAAACGGACCGATTATTTTACCATTTAAAATTCCTGTCCAATGGTTTATCTTGAAGCGATATTGAGATTTATCTTCTCTCATCAAATGTGGGTTTGCTACGTGCCACTCGTGTAAGTTATGCAGGTTCATGTACCCATCTTTCTTAAATGTGGTCTCATCCGACCATAAAATTTTTTCAAAGAACTGTGGATCTTTCCTGTGTCTTTCTAACATTGTGCGACAAAAAGCAACTCGGGGCTCATAATCCCGGGGCAGGAGAGCTTGAACACGCTGTACGTGGTATGGATGGAGCACGTTTTTTTGCAAGATTCTATGGGCTGTACTTTTGAGCACATCTGTTTTTAGTTCTATTGCACGCACTGAAGTACTCGGGTCTTCTTCGACAGCTCATAGCACCACGTCTTCGTAAGGAAGGAAAGATCTTCCCTCACCGTGTGATTGGTTTGGTAGTTGGCCCTCTGAGAACAGTAAGCGGTGCACATTTGTGAACACTCGATGATCTGGATGACGAGCTGCATTCGGGTACCTCTCACAGTAAAGTCTCGTTGCAGCACTAGCGTTGCATCTGTATTCCCCATAAATGAGGTGCATGTTAGCATATTCTTGTACGGTGTACACGGACATAGCGGCACTGCACAATCACACTATCTAAGGAAAGCAAATGTTGTTTTGAAGAGCAATTAAACAGTCCAAATCCAAATCACAAGCGATCAACAGTCCAGTTTACGAATCCAAAATTAGTAACAGTACGAAATCGACAAGCACGAACATGTAAAGATGCGCAGTAAACGAAGGAGTACTGATCGGTATCAAAGTGTGTAAGTAAGTGATTTGCTCCATCCATACCACATACAGCGTGTTCAACCTCTCCTGCCCCGGGATTATGAGCCCCGAGTTGCTTTTTGTCGCACAATGTTAGAAAGACACAGGAAAGATGCACAGTTCTTTGAAAAAATTGTATGGTCGGATGAGACCACATTTAAGAAAGATGGGTACATGCACCTGCATAACTTACACGAGTGGCACGTAGCAAACCCACATTTGATGAGAGAAGATAAATCTCAATATCGTTTCAAGATAAACCATTGGACAGGAATTTTAAATGGTAAAATAATCGGTCTGTTTGAGTTCCCAGAGACTTTGACTGCTGAAGTTTATTTGGATATTTTGAAAAATCATGTACAAAGTTTATTGGTGGACGTGCCACTGAGTATTTACAGGGACATGTGGTTTCAGCATGATGGCTGTCAGCGCACTATGCACTCTCAGTGAGAGAGTATCTCGATCAAAACTTTCCAGGCAAATGGATAAGGCGGTCTGGTACAATACCGTGGCCAGCCCGATCACCAGATTTGAATCCGTTAGATTTTACTGGGGAACTGTAAAAGAAAAAGTGTATTTCTAGCCGATTCCAAATGTAGCTGAGCTACGGCAAAGACTATTGGAAGCAGCTGAGTTTGTTAATAACCGTGGATTCGCTCGTTTATTAACCCGATCTTTTTAAGATGTCTAGCGTGTATTGCGGCTGAAGGAAAACAGTTTGAGCATTTGCTGTAAAGGTTAATCATCATCAGCAGCATTTTGACGCCCACTGTTGTGCAAACAGTTATCCTTAAGGGTCCTTGTGCGTTTTCATAATCGCTGTTTAATTAGGAAATTTTGAAAAATTTTCATCAGTTTTTTTTCAAATAAAAATTGTGCATAAGTTAACGAGTAATCTTCTAAGTGTTATACCATTTTGAGATCGTTATTAAATGCGCCAACTTTTAAGGTTACTTGCCAAACTCTCGTAGTACATTTTTTTCCAGTACAGCCAGTTAAAGTTGAGCAAAGTTTTACTTTGGAATACTTGGTTGGGAAATAAGTGGCAATTTTTCCTGAACGAGAAAAGTTGGCAGTAAGGTTGAGACACCAGTTTGAAGATGCATTATTCATCATTACATTGTAAAAATAAAATCCACAAAAAGTTAATATTTGTAGTAACAGGAGCTGACAGACTGCCGTAGGGTGTGAAATTTCTATATTTTTTTCAAAGACCTATAATTTTCAAAACACATACATAAAATTTTTTTAAATATTTTTCTGATGGCTGTTATGACTTTGCCTATCACCAGGTTTCGGCCTGACGTCGACTTCTGGGACATCCTGTATATATATATATATAACTTGACACGTGGTCATTGTCGTCTAGACCAGTTAGGTGAAAAATTAAAGCTTCCGCCTTTTGTTGGGTACTTCGACAAAATTTAAGCAAAGAAGACTCTTTATACTTTTTTAATTCTCTCTAGCTTTCAATGGACTTTGCCATCATCATCAGGAGCTGCAATTACAATGATAACAGTAGCAACAAAAGTGTAAAATGAATTTAAATTGATTCAACTTACAGTAGTATGTGAGGATGTTGCTAATTGTTGTTTACGTATAGGATGAGGGAAACGTCCAGTAACATGGTGAGAGCTGGATAGATTGTACAATGGTCAAAATTATATAAAATATGACAAGAACAAGTTAAAAACAGATTAAAAATTATTTAAAAAACATTAGAGCATTACATCGTGAAGCCACTTGATGATTGCACAAATTAGTGGTCATGGAATAATGAATGAGATGACACCCTTTGACAGAAGGCTGAAGGATGTCAATGTCTGTGTTGAAAGATGGAACGAATTGTGGGCGTGTGCCAAACGTTGCCAAATCACTTCAGATGATGCGATTTTCAGAATTTTATGTACGAATTTGTTAAACCGACCATTGTACAATCTATCCAGCTCTCACCATGTTACTGGACGTTTCCCTCATCCTATACGTAAACAACAATTAGCAACATCCTCACATACTACTGTAAGTTGAGTCAATTTAAATTCATTTTACACTTTTGTTGCTACTGTTATCATTGTAATTGCAGCTCCTGATGATGATGGCAAAGTCCATTGAAAGCTAGAGAGAATTAAAAAAAGTATAAAGAGTCCTCTTTGCTTAAATTTTGTCGATATATATATATATATATAAATAAAATAAAGACATTGAAACTGCAAGAGAGCTGTTAAATAATGATATGAAAAACGAAATAAATTGGTTAAATGTAAACAAACTTAAACTAAACACAAACAAAACAAAATATACGCTAATAGGAATATCTTTAGATCAAAATATGATAAATCTTACAATTAATCATGAAAAAATTGTGTCAATCAAATCATTTAAATATTTGGGCATATACGTAGACAGTAAATTAAAATTTGAAGGGCACTATGAATATATTATTTCAAAAATATCCCAGAAAATAAGTTACTTTTATAGAATATCGTATAGCCTATTCTAAAAAAATTGTGTACAACACAATCATTCTTCCTCATTTGTTATATTGTTCAACTATTTTGTTCACTGCAAATGAAACTGTATTTTCAGAATTACAAATATTACAAAATAAAGCTACCAGAATCATCTTAAATAAAAATAAATATACTGGAATAAATTTTATGCTGAAAGAACTACAATGGTTAAATATCAAAAAATTCATAGCCTACTTGGTTTTCATTTTCATGTTCAAGTTGAAAAATCATCTTCTACCAAATCACTTAGAAAATTTTATTGTATTGAACAATGAGTGCCACAATTATTCTACTAGAGGAAGTATAGACTTTCATTTACAAAACTGCAGTAGCAATAATTCTACGAATTTAATAAATTGAGTAATGATATCAAGATGTGTGTCAGTTTGAAAACGTTCAAAGGGAAATTGAAAACATATCTTATGGAAAACCACAATTCATAGTAGGTAATGAAACTATGTAGTTTTGAAGACATAATATATTTTGTGAAACAAACAAACAACAAAATGAAAATATAACATATCTACCTTAGATAAAAGTTCTTGAGAATCTTTCTTGTTCAGAATGACTGAAAAACTCTAGAACAACTTTGTCTGGAGTGCAAACGGTTAAAAAAATATCGATTTTTGATGCAATTTACGGCCTTGAAGGGTGTCGGTCCTTTTTGAACGAGATTATTCAAAAAAAAAATTAATCAGAATATTTTTCCCAGCAGATGCGAAGATAGGAAGTATCTACTAAGCTACAACCAAATGTACTCACGTCCAGGCTGGCGAGGCAATACCAACAAAAGACGTGCTTGCACCTTTTGCACATCATCTGCGCGCAGCCCTCGTCTTTTTCGATAGGAACGTTGCACAAGGGACAGCATTTGATGAGATCCGAATCAAACGGTATGCCGACGTCTTCGGGTTTGCCCTCCTGCAAATTTTTAAGTGAAAATTAACTGAATTATCTCGGATAAGGTATTTTTGGAAAAAATCGGCAGTGACTGTTTTGGACGATAAATAGACGTCCACTTTTCTCGTCGTGGCCTAACGATTCTGCACTAGCCCGGAAAATAGATTGGGAAACATTTAAAACACATATATCCAATTTTCGCTTTTCGTCCCTTGTTCATTGGATACATTTGGTAGAATCTGTGTTAGGAAATCTTTTGTCATAACTTAAGAGTGAATTGTGTAGTCTACCACCAACTCTGAGAATTCCATTATCATCTAGAAAAACACCAAGTTTCCTTAGCGGTTTATTGGCCTTTAAACTATAAATATCTGATGAAAAGTATTTGCTTTGAGTGTGCTTGAGCAAAGCGTGCATTTCGTTCTTCAGACATGAAGCGATGAGCCGAGATAAAAATTTTGTTTTGGGATGCCTAGCGTTATAAATAAATCTTTGAATATATGGATAACGCTGAAAATTTGATCAAAAGCATATCCGTTATGTTCGAATCTATGTTTGACATAAGAGCGGTTTTTCTTTGCTCATTGTCCACACAGTGTGGTATTTGTATTGGAGGACATGCGGTGGGCCAATCAATGGATGCGACAATAAAGCAGGGCCTGCCCACTACTGTCCATAGTTTTTAAAATGTAAGGGCTGTAAACCACGAGATGAGCAATCTGCGATATTATTTTTCGAAGCCACATGATACCACCGAACATCAGGTAGCATTTCTTGAATGCTTGATATCCTATTGGCTACAAATGGTTTTCATCTGTGTGGCGAGAAATTAAGCCAATATAAAACGATTGTAAAATCTGTAAATGGGAAAATATGTTTGAAGGAAATTTTATTACTATATGTGTCAATAACAAAGCGCAATAGTTGAAACAACAAAGCTGCTTCTAGTAGTTCACATCGCGGTATAGAAACTTGAGTTCACCTTAGATTTCGCGCTTAACAGAGACGTTTGTATAGTTGAATGCGTAATAATTCTCATAAAAACTACGGCTGAATGAGCGTGTGAGCTGGCATCAGAAAAACCAACAATTTATGTAGTTATAATGTTTAGGTAAAACTAAGCGGGGTATACAGGGTGTTCCTTACTGATATGCAAATATTTAAGGGTGTGAATCTACATGAAAAATTAATGTTAGTTTGCTTTATAAACTATGGTCCAAAAATATCTCCTTACACTCGGGGTGTTGAAGTTTTAGGAAAAAAATGGAAATTAGTTAATATTTTCAGAACCGCTTCAGATATTTCACTGATATTTAGTACGTAGTGAAAGTAAAGCTGCATATTTTTCAATGCAAAAATATTTTTTAGCTTCAACAGTGGCGTGAATACGGGTATTGACTTCGATATTTATTAAGAAAAAAAATGGTCCGCCAATGGTTTTTTGCCTAATAAAAATTATTTTTGAATTCCCCGTTCAATTTAAAACAACTGATCTCTCTTGAATTGTTTTCCTTCGATGCGCCATTTTTCAGTAAAAAAATAAAAACCGTTCTATTGTCCGGGAAAATTAATGTAATAATTGAAGAATACAATTTAGCAATAAATATCTAGTTGCTCTGGAATATGTCACTGGCTTTTGCCATCTGACAAGTCTCTGTTATTCAAATCTGTTCGCTGCGACGTCTTTTTGATTATTTAGTTTTTACAATCTTGTTAATAATAGTGAATTATTCAAATGGTAATGGTGAGCCAGCCAGACGGATTTATCACCAGAGATATCCCGATCGTGCTTCACCAGATAGTCGAACCTTTTCTAATATTCATCGTCGTCTTATTGAAACTGGTTCTGTCCGAAAAGGAACATCTGAAGATGGACCTCTAAGTGTGAGAACACCTGAAATTGAGGAAGCAATGCTGCACGCAGTCGAAGAACCTCCTGAAACGAGTACGAGGAAGATCGCTAGACACGTAAATATTTGCCATCAAATTGATTGGAGAATTTTAGTGGATTTTTTGTTATATCCTTATCATATTTGAAGGGTACAGGCATTACTACATAAGGATATAACAAAAAATCCACTAAAATTCTCCAAACAATTTGATGGCAAATATTTACGTGTCTAGCGATCTTCCTCGTACTCGTTTCATGATATTCTTCGACTTCGTGCAGCTCTGCTTCCTCAATTTCAGGTGTTCTCGAGGTCCACCTTCAGATGTTCCTTTTCGGATACAACCAGTTTCAACAAGACGACCATGAATATTAGAAAAGGTTCGACCATCTGGCAAAGCACGATCGGGATATCTCTGGTGATAAATCCGTCTGGCTTGCTCACCATTACCGTCGGCAAGGCCATATACGTAATACATTTCCGCCATTTCTGCATTTGAATAATTCACTATTATTAACAAGATTGTAAAAACTAAATAATGAAAAAGACGTCACAGCAAACAGATTTGAATAACAGAGACTTGTCAGATGTCAAAAACCAGTGACATATTCCAGATTAACTAGATATTTATTGCTAAATTGCATTCTTCAATTATTAAATTAATTTTCTCGGACAATAGAACGGTTTTTATTTTTTTACTCAAAAATGGCGCATCGAAGGAAAACAATTCAAGAGAGATCATTTGTTTTAAATTTAACGGGGAATTCAAAAATAATTTTTATTTGGCAAAAAACCATGGCGTACCATTTTTTTTCTTAAAAAATATCGAAGTCAATACCCCTTACGCACGCTAAAAATTATTTTTGCATTGAAAAATATGCAGCTTTATCAACTTTCACTACGTACTAAATATCAGTGGAATATCTGAGGCGATTCTGCAATTATTAATTAATTTCCATGTTTTTCCTAAAACTTCAACACCCCGTCTTTTTGTAAGGAAACATTTTTGGACCGTAGTTTATAAAGCAAACTAACCTTAATTTTTCATGTACACCTTTAAATATTCGCATATCATTAAGGAACACCCTGTAGATATATCTGATAAACAACTAACAAAACGATTAAACGGAACACCCTTGTATCTCACCCCCTTACCTCTTGGTGCAAGCGGGTGCTTTGGTACTACGGTTTCTGCCAGGAGAGAACAACGGAAAAGAAAGAGCCATGGCGTACATACGCCTGCGATTTTATAGAATGTTCTAGAACCGACCTTGGTCGCTACGTCATGCCGTCCGCCACTGCGAATCTTCTTGACGTCGTGACGCCAACGCGGTGCATTTGATTGAATCAAAAGTATTTCTATTCGATTCCTTATGGCGTACCCTATAAAATGAGTGCTTACACCTCTAGGGCATCTCATTCCAAAGGGCTAGATCAGACCCTGCAGGGCCTATAGTCAGTTCTAGCGTCTCCCCGACGAACGGCAGTGCATCAGCTCCGTGCAGGTTGCAATTCCCGCACGATGACCATTCTAAAGTGCTTTTAAACCTATACTACAACCAAAAGGGACCTTAGTACCTGTTTGCCCACTGCTAGGGACCTTACACGGCTCACAACACCAAGAGTGTTGTGTGACAAGTCCCCCAAGGCATCTGAATGTGGAAGAAAGACTTCTCATTCGTTATAAGGGCACTACATGCCCATTTCAACCAGTGCCTCAATACGTGAGTTTGGCGTATTGTTTTTCCCCTGCAAATCCCTGAACCTATTAGTCCTGCCTCATAACGCATTCCTGACGTCCTGAATATCGTCTAGTGCTACCACAAGGCTTAAAAATTGATTTAAATCATTTCATTCATTATAATAATATCTAAGACGGAAAACGAAAAATATCAATTTCTGTCCATTTCTGTGTGTAACACATGGCAACAAAAACGACTGTGGTATGTCATAAAACATCAGGTTTGCTTGAGTATTCGAGACTCTTTATAGGATACAAAATAACATATAGAACAGGGCACTATCCCAATTTTAGAATATCGGAACAGTATTTAATGACTAATTTAACATCTTCCAGAAAACGTGAATACGAGGGGCGGTTAAAAGTACGCAAATGGATGATTGTGCTCTTCATGTTTTGTTAAGTGCTGGATAGTTTTTAATGCTAAATAAGGCGAGCAACTAATGCCAAAACTGACAGTGTTCAGAACATACTTCTCAAGTTGAGCGTCTGGTGAAAATATCCATAAGATTTACAAATAAATTGACTTAATGTTAGCGGTTATAGCGATTTGTGGCAATCTAAAATTCAGAAGAAGTTGACTAATATCCTTCTGGAGTTTAGGACCTGGCATAAGTGTGTCATTTAGCGATAACTGATTAGAATCTAACATCGAAAGCAACTCTTAATTTTGTGGTAGTTGATTCCGGTTTAAACACGTAATGATGCGGTATGAAATAGTCATTAAGCAAAGAAGAATGAATGTTATCAGATAAAGACATATAATTATTGTCTATCATGTCTTGTATAGAATTCGTATAAAGAAATGCGTTTTTCTAAAGAGCAAAATCTTCCTCATATTACCACCAATTTTATCCGAAACAATATCATCAAAATTTTAAGTAGGCTACGATTTATTTAGAGGGGTAACAGTAACCGAAATTTGGCCTATATTATTATACATTTCCATACCTCCTAGTCCGTAAATAGTAGCAGCGCTCATTTTTATCGGTAAATCAAGTTTTTCTGCGAATTAACAACACTCACTACCTGTATCTATGAGTACTCTACCGGTTTGCTTATTTCCCAAATATTAACTTTCAGCGTAGAATGAGCGAAATAATTTGTAGTTGGCTGGGGGATACAGCTGCGGATTCAGGGCGAGTGGTCAGCGTATATTCGGTATTTGAAATATGATTTTTCAAACTTGAAGATTGTGCGATTTCAACTACAGCCGATTAAGGATTATTAGAGGGTTGCGAAGCATTTGTGTATTGAATAACATGAAGCAGCGAGTGATGCTTGGCGTCACATATGCGACATGTATGAACTGACCTACACATACTGTTAGAATGACAATTATTACTCAAACAGTTCAAATCGTAAGAAGCATATTGGTCAAAATGAAGTCCCATTCAGCTACGGGAGAACCAAGATTTTTCAATGCGGCAATATTTTCAGAATATGTTCTAGTAGTTTCTTGAGTTGAGCGGGATTTTCAGAATTCATGCGTCGCGTGAAGTTGCTAAAAGCCGTTTATTAGTATATAAGCTACTAAATAATTGGACGAAGTTAAAGGATAGCACTGTAACATACCTTTAGCAGACCCATCAACAAATGATATCAAGTAAGGGTTGGAGTATAAAAAAAAAATGCGACAATTTTTCTATATTGGATAGAGTTTATTTGCTATGAATTAAGGCATCAAAAACATCAATAAATGACATGGAGGATTTAATATCTGCTTTAAACCTCATCAGTTTTAGTTTAGGTAGTTTCACTCTGGGTGGAACATCGGATATTTCAGGCCGAGTGTCAGACCTCAACTCTTTAACCTCAAACAAATCATAATAAATGGATTTAATGGAATAATATTTGTTATCAACCCCAATGCGAATGTTATCCTCAACAAGAAGTTCCTCATCTTGGTCAGGATCTAACATACCAATTATAGTGTTATGGCGTTTATAGAAACTTTCATATGAAGACTCTATAGTTTTATATCTTTGTATGAACTGCGACTGGAAATGAAGGTTTGAGACATTTTAGCAGTGTCAAGGTACTCGGAAATCTTATTTATTTCCATATTGCGTAAATTCTTTTCCCTTTTAAGTTTGTCAACTATGGTTTTGAATCAAGACAAAATGTACCTGAGTACTGTCCTGTGGTTACCTATAAACGCAAAAAGTGTATCTAATGAATTAATGCAATTACTGAATATCAACCAAAACTGACAAAATGCGCCAGAAAAGGGCGATGAAAGGCGAATCCGTTGAGAAAGATGAAAAATATGTATTCGAGTGGACTGGTTCAAGAAATGATCCGGTATTTTGTTCTAATTCTGGTTCCTATCCCATTAGAAGCGTTCCTGATGCTCTGGTCGGCGTGAAAATCGCGGGTGTGAAAGCGGTTGAAGTGCGAAGGTTTGCTGTGAACTTAACATATCGGCATGCTGTATTTGGCAGATTATTTAAAATTGCATATCTGCCTATTTATAATCCTTGTATGTAGTTGGCATCATTATATAAAATATGGAGGGCCAACAAGCATAGAAATGAGCACACTAATTAAAAGTGACTAGCTTATTTACAAAGAATTGTGAATATTTTACATTAGTGTTTTCTGTATGGTTTAGAATTATCAAGAAGCGGTACAATGAAGTGAGACACTTGTGTTTTGAAACACTCAACATGCATTTGTAATAAATCTATTTACTTATATTTTCATGTAATACAGTTTTTATACCATTGTCAACAGCATATGAATATTTTTTGAAACGTAAATAAATTTGGTGCTTCATAATCAGGGTTGGATTTTATTATTCCGAACCTGTTTCTCTGCCATACTGCTGAAAGATATATTGGGGATATTTTATGAATATATCGGAAATATCATTTTTGGCAGATTTCAAGTTATGAACAAACGAATTCCCCGGCTGCCCGGCACATTCCTTATTCCAGGCCCATTTTTGGCATTTTTTCGATAGTTCATCCAGATCTCCAGGCAAGTAGGCAGCGCAACCATCTGACAAACGGTGTTGCCATTGTTTAACGTGCAGCTCTCACTTCTTCAGTCTTATGTGTTCTGTGGCCCTCATGTTTTCTGGATGCCAACGTCAGGTTGTTTCGGCAACATCGCATGGTTTTTTATTCTGCCGAATGAGTTGACTCCCCGTGATATACTCTACTTTCTACTAGGCTCTGCAAGACTATCCGGACTATCCGGTAGCGGAATTTTCCTAGAAATCGTTACACAATATAAAATAATGCAAATGATAATTGACTCTTTCACGTTCGAAATAGCTCCGTTGGTACTCATCAGACGTTTTAACATCGACACCACCAGGTTTTCCTTGTTCTTGTACGTATAAAACTTTTTTTATAACATTCCAGCAAAGTAGCAGAGGTAGCAAGCCGTCCGATGAGCTGGCAACACCGCAATCCAGTTGACAAGAATAACGTGGTCAATTATTGAAATGTACATATCTATCCCGGGATACCGACGGCCCTTTTAGAACGTCAAAGCAGCAATTTTACAATTATCATTTTTTTTTTCATGTTGTGCCACGATTTCGGGAAAAAATTCGCTGCGGATAGTCTTTTAGAGTCTGGTAGAATACAATTCAACAGTTGTCTTGCGTGGCCATGTTATCTTTACCCGGGCCAGATTTTCCTGATACGAATTTGCAAAACGATTTTTATTTTTGTAATGCAAATTTCCCAAATACTAATTTCAAATTCAAGCGGATAACCAAAAGAAAATGGTATTTACCATTTTGGGTTGGTATTTACCGATCCGTTCAAGCGAGTTTAGTTATCAGTTTGGTTATAAGATCCGTGACGTCATGAATCAGTTGTTATATGTCATAGTTATCACCGTAAAATTGTGGTATTTACCCAACTCAGGAGTTGTTTTATATTTCTGGTTATTATTTGAAATGTGACAAGTTAGAATTTTGCCGGGTATTGGATGTTGTTATTGTACTTCAACTTGATACAGGCTGACTTGAGTTTTACCATAAAGTGGAGCACCTTTTTAGTTATACTCTGTTATTGGGGACACATTAAATGTAGTTCCTATGCTTAACAAAGTACCTATCCTGTGTAGCCATATATACCACAAGAATATTAAAATATGGCCATATAAACTCATGATGATGTCCACCTGTATTCGGCTTTACTAATATCTTTTTTCATCATATCTGCTGAATCAATAAATATTTTCTTTGACATGCGGAAAACTTTAGAGAATTGAAAGTTATCATAGCTACAAAGCCATGGTTCCATCATTAAAAAAAAAATCTGAAAAAGAAAACATTTCTCCCATGAATATTATGAAAGGTTTCTTTTTTAAACTAGAGTAGACAAAAAAGCACCGATTATTAAGTGATAATAAAATAAATCAGAGATTATATACGCGCTTTTCTAAATTAAACAACTTGCAACAAAACCGCGGTTAAAACCAACGCGTTCAAGCGATTCGTGTAACTGACGTCATCAATCCGTGTGTCATCTTGAACCATATCATAACCGCGGCACATAACACAGACATTTTGGTTATTCGCTTGGATTTGATTATTGAGGCTAATGGCAATGGCGTACGCTGGCACTTAAACCTTGTGATGAGCTTGAATATTTTGATTTGGTAAAAATTAATTAAATCATTTGATATTCAACTTTTTCATCACTACAATTCCAAAAAATTAGCGCTACCTATGCGCCAAGAACTTAAGCTACTTTATAATAAAGTAAAAATCTTTAGATTGAATGTAATGAAATGAAATTAGCTAGACTAATGGTCACTAGATGGAGGCTCGAGTCAGTTTCGGATTTTTTCAGATGAATCGACGGGGTAGTTACGAATTTATGAACTACTCAGTTGACTAGTCAATATACATTTGAAAGATGGTTTTTATTTTTGTAAATAATTAATCATTTTTTATTTTTTAATCAAGTTCTTTTACCGCAAATGGAGCGAACGTTTTATACTTTTTTTAACCCTAATGTACCTACATATTAAATTTTAGAATAAAATCAATACATACAATCTCCTAGTTATTGCAATAAAATTGCTTCTGTTCGTATAGCATTAAGCTCTAACCGTCTCATAAATATGTACATACTGTAACAGGAACTTCGACCGAGGCTCTCGGACCTCTGAACATCGAGCCTTGACTTCGGATCCCCAATTCAATACTTCAATTTCTAGATTGGTCCGAGCCTGTTCGAATTTCCAATTCTGTTACCTTTTACTTGTCTTCCTATAGGAGGTAGACTCGCGTAGAACCTGACATAAAGTAATATAATCTTAACTCATTGAAACACTCACTTTACGTCGAATGGTGCTTCCTCTGTTCTTCAAGTAATGCAGAGAACGTGGTAAACGCCCGAATGAATACTTTCGGAACCGTCGAACTCAGTTAGCTTCAGTTAACGAATTAAATAAAAGTCAACTTAGAAGAGACAATTTTTATTGATAATTGAATTCCAGACTCAAAATATATAAGCGCTCATGACAATGTGAAACGTAAAACTCATAGGCTGAGGAAAGGATCATTGGAGGATTAATTTAAAGCAAACTTAATTTACAATATGTAAGTTTGAATTTAATAGCAAAAACTATTTAAACTTAAGAATCTCAACTTTACAATGCTAATTAATCAAGGCAATGTATAGAATGCTTAGTTAGCTCAGCGTTATATTAAAAGAAAGGATAAGCCCTTTTGAAGTAACTGAAAGTGATTACTGATGTGAACACAACTTGACACAAATTAACCAAACACAACACTTATAACAGCCACTGACTGAAGGAAAATCAAAGCAACTTTTTTAGCCGTACAAATCAAAGATAAGGGATGAACTGAAGTTTTTCAAAATCGGAGGTCAGTTGCGGATTTTCCCCTCCATCGTTCTTACTTAGTAAGTTCAACCCTTGTTTCCTCATTGGTTGGCCAGTTTACAACCTTTGCAATGGCCGTCTATTTCTCTAAACATGAAAACTGATTTGACCAATAATTGTTACACTTAATTTTTGAACTCAACTCTATTGGCTAGTTACCTTCCCTTGTCCCATCTCAAGGAGTGTCGTCAG